GTTCTGCGTATCTTTGGCATCAATTCCTTGTAGTTACTTCATGTCTTATGTGTCTCTGCAATCAGTTTGAGCCTCATCCTGGTTAGTACTTAAGTGTCTCTTTGATTGACATGTTCACAATGGGGGCCCATAGGCCTGTTTACTAATCCATCCATGTTGTTATACTATTGATGTGTTTATTTGTTCTGAAAGACTATCATTGTTCCTTTCAGTCGACAAAAGAGAAGATTATCTATTCTAATGTTCTGGTCTACTCTCCTGAACCTTCCCCTGATGGTTTGCTTAGACTGGATGGAGCAACTATTCCAGTTGAATGTCATTATGAAAAGTAAGTCCTGTATATTGTGACACAGTAGTACATGCGTATTACTACTATTTGAAATATTTCTCGAACACACCGTATATTTTCAGGAGGTATTCTCTGGATGCCATCTCCCTGCATCCCACCTGGGTTCCTTCTGTCTCCACGATCTCAGCAGAAGATCAGATAGACTTCAATTTTCTACTGATGACTGGTACTAATGGCATAACATGATCTTGCGTCTTTTATTATTCTTGTGCATCTTAGTCGTATGCTACATTTTTCACGATTTAATACTTCTCTTTGAATATGCCTGTTGTACAACCACATTTCAAAATGACTTGTTTACGTTTCTCTTTTTCATTCTTGCAGGTGATAGGCAGTTTGAGAGGGGATCTTATTCGTACTTCTTGGGTGACACCATTAATTTTCAAGTTTCAGCCTTCATGGGTAACCACATGCCCCTGCGAGTCCATGTGGACCATTGTGTTGCCACAGCAACTCCCGATGCAGAGGATACATTAAGATATGACTTTATCGAGCATTATGGGTAAATGCCAAAGATTGTTATAGTAAGATAATTGTTCTATTTTTTTATTGTTGAAATTATCAACTTTCCCAACCACTGTCTTCTTTTCCTGCTCTAACAGATGTCTAACTGATGCTTACCTGACTAACTCAAAGTCACACTTCCTACCAAGAGTTGAAGAGAATCAGCTTAGGTTTCAGGTTGAGGCCTTCAGGTTCTACCAGGCACCCAGCAATCAGGTTGGTTATTTTTTCTGTCTGTGACATGCACTTTGAACACGTTAAAACTGTAAGACTTGATAACGTTTGCTATTTTTGTTCAATACACATAAACCCTAAAGAGGAGCTTAAACATATTTCACTGAATTTCTCTCTCTCTCCCATAGGTCTATATAACCTGCTACGTGAAGGCTGTTCCAGCTGTGCTAGCCGACAACTCTCAAAACAGGGCCTGCTCTGTAATTGAGAACAGGTATTATACTAATTATGCATGTTCAGTTTTCCTATGCAGTGTCCTTGTAATATCAGAAAAAAGGAAATTAGTTGTAGCATTTCAATTCCAATCATCTGATTTGTCTCCTCTGTATCAAACTTGGCGATCTAACTTCACAGAATTGAGTCCTCCTAATTTCAAAAATTGCCTCCTTATCCAGATGGAGGTCAGTTGATGGGAACGACCAGGTGTGTAAAAGCTGTGATGTCACCCATGGGGTGGAGGAGCCACTGGCAACAGAACCCCCTAAGACTATCGTCGGCACCAAAGCATGGCCCACCGAGACTTGGCAGAGGCATTTAGTCCAGAAGAATCCAGAGGAACCCGAAGCACATTTTTTCCGTGTTGGTCCAGGAAGTCAACACAACAAACAGCAATCCTCTGCTAGAGTGATGAAAAGAGGAGCAGAGTACAAAGCAGGCGAGTACAACAAATGGTGATGACTTCTTACTTTTATTTACCTTTTTTATTTAAGATCAATCTATGTGCAGTGCAATTTCACTAACCTCATTGACACATAAACCATTTGAGCAATTTGGAAAACCGAAACATTCCGAACACACCAAAAAGATTAATGCACACTAAATGATGTTGTTTTACAATGGTAATGTGTTAAAAAAAATAAGAGATTCAATTTATACCCGTTTTTAATTATGTGTTATTTTAATTTTTATTATTAATGTTGCTTTTTGTGCAGCCGAAAGAGACCTATTCACATTTTTGTAATTTTGTTTTACAGAGCGAACTATCCAGTTGGGACCCATTACTGTCTTCCCATCAAACAAATTTGACAAAAAGCCATCAGACTCCAAAACAGTACTTTCACCAAAGAGCCGGACCTCCTGAACGCGGACTTGTACATTAAAACATTTTGGACAGAACACAACTCCTGTGAATAGAGAGGTATCATTCTTAATACCATCTCACCTGGAATAAATTTGAGTACTTTTCACATTTCAAATTACTGTTATTTCAAATATTTTCTGTAAAAATAAAAACAATTCCGAATAACTTGGCTTTTTTTAACCTGCTTATTACAAAACACATGAGCATTATAATGATCTCAATTGTTTTTTCTGATTTCTTTTTTTTCCAACATGCATCCTGTAGTTCTTTGCCAAGAACTTGATATGCCTTTTAGCAAACAATTCAATTAGCATTGGGTTTGAAGCACTCAAGTCATTGGGCCAAAACGGCACAAATGGATGTCAAAAGGTTGCATTGTGTGTTTGTGTAGTTGACACAAATGCACACTATGTGCATCCTTCTGTCATCCACTGTAAAAATGCATTTCACATAATCCTGCTATTTTGATCTGAGAAAAAAAGCAGACACGCTTTTAGGAGCACATCCCGCCATCATTACCACAGCCTACCCATCATGTCCTCCCATTATTGATTAATCATTGTGAGGGTATATGCAGAAATATAGAATGCTGTCTTTGCTTACTTCTTCCAGTAAAACAATTAGTCAATTGTGTAATTATTGGTCACTTTAGAGACCTGTATTAGAATAGTTTCCTGGAGAAAGAGTGCTTATTAGTGGCCATTGTGTGAACCACTTTGAACGCCTACCAAACCATTGCAGCCTTCCCAGGAAATACCTGCCCATTAATGTATAAATATTGCAAATGGAAATGTTTCGGGCTCCTACTTTCTGGAACACTTAGTAGTTGTGGGTTTGGTTGTGTCAGCACCTCAGACAGCGCCCACCCATTGTTTCCCTCAGTGGGCGTGTTGAGCGTTGTCCCTGGTGCTGAATCATCAACAGTCTCTTCTGCAGTCTGGTTTAATGTCCCCTCCCACCTTCACAATTAATCAAAGGCTCATTTCTCAGTGCTGCAGACACGACTGGTCGATGTCCTGGGCGCCTGTTTACTTTCATATCCAATGAACAAGCCATCGGTGTTTACGTTGGCTGGAAGGCATCAACATAACCGTTAAGTGCATAATAAATCAAGAGCAGATTGAAGTACACTTAAGAGTTCATGTCAAGCTTGTTGGCATATTCATATGCTGCAGAGAGGGATTCAGCTGTCTGCGTAGCCCCACTTGTACTTTATAGTGATAGCTGACTGCTGACAGTTCAATGTGAGCATTTTTTATTTTTTCGTTATTTTTCTCCATTTTCCGGTATTTTTCTATGTCTCGTGGGCTCGCAGTTTATTGGTGATAGCTCCGCTTCAACGTTTCACGCCATCTTTCAGAATATTGAGTGCATCTTCTTGCCTGCGCCCTGTTTCCCGAGCGTTTCCACGGAGCTTTACTGGATCATCTCTCCCTTTCAACTCAGCAATGACGTTTTTCTACAATTGTCAAGCTCTGGTGTTGTTCACCTTTTGCTTTTTTGTTCGCACAGTTGTTTATTCCATCCGAAAATGTGGACCATACATTTGTCGAGATGACCAGGTTTGCTGCGCACAGGGAAACGACACCACTGCCGTCACCTGTTGCAAGCAGTTCGTGGACAACACTTACTACAACATCGCCATGGTCACCCGGAAACTTTCCGGTGTGCTCATTATGCTGCTTCTCTTCGCTGTGGGATACTTTGTCCAGCGGATGTTGTGTTCCAGATCCAGGCAGCTCACCCCGCCACCCATCCCCGGACTCCCTGCTGCTACCACATCGCAAGAGCCGCTAATGGAGAGCAGCACCCCAGACAGCCTGAGGGATCCAGCCCCTGATGTGCAGCTGCCTTCATACGAACAATGCAAACGTCTGCCAACATATGAGGAGACGGTGCGGGAAGGGAACACAGGACGGTCGGAGTTTAACATGGAACAAGTTATGACAAGGACGTCAGTTCCATAACTTAAGTCTTCACTAAATGGCACTTTATATTTTACATTTCAGATTGCGGTTTATTTGATTATTATGGACGTTTCAGAAACACCAACAAAAGCCGCCCTGGAAGATCTGCCTCTGAGCGTAAATGACCTATACTCACCAAGGATTGTATCAGTCATGTATCTTTGTTCCGAGGAATGTATCAGACAAGTGCCTACGTTCTGTATTTATTCTTTTGCACAATGTATCAATGATGTTGCTTATATAAATTAAACTGCTATGGTAATGCTTTTTAAATCAGCTGCTTTAAATCATTAATAAGAACTTTCGTGTTATGTCGTAAAAAATAACATTTGGCACTTTGTCTTCTTGCCTCTTTAACTCTTCTATAATTATCTTTAATTCATACAAGTATATAAACACAACTAATTTAGCACAACATACTAGATTATTGTGAAAACTGCATTATTACACATCAGTATTCATTTTTCTGAAGGCGTCTATTCCAAACATTAGCCTACTATGTGCACTTGTCTGTTGCTTATCATGCTGATGTGAATGCTTCGTCAGTCAGATCATGCCTTTATGAACCCAGTAATATATCAAAATGACATGGCTGTATGACATAATTCCGTTTCATAATTGACATAAGATCTGCTGCACTGGTAAAAGTGTGTGTGTGTGTGTGTCAGTGGTGGCTCCTCTAATGCACACTAATAGACCATAAGGTATCTCGTGTTTCATGTGGTATCCATTATAGTGTCCTATGAAGTAGCCTAGCCTAATGGGTTCACTAGCTCTAATGCTATTAGCGAAATTATGTTTTTCCAACAAGGATGCTGTACAAAAAAATAATTCATCATATTGTCAATGCAATGAAAAAAACACATTTCATATAAATACATGTTTTATTTGACCATTTGGACCACTCTCCTAAAGGCCTCTTCAACCCCAAATCCAGTGGACGCGGAACAAGGCTGAACGAACCAATCCCGACCAGAGCAAATCTTCCTCAGGTTAAACGTGTCCTTGATTTCAGTGACAGTCACAGCGCCATTCACGTCCTGTTTGTTGGCCAGTAGGACCAGTGGACGGCCCCGCAGCTGTTCGCTCCCCAGAGTTTTCTCCAGCTCTTTCCGCGCCTCCTCCATGCGCTCCTTGCACGAGCTGTCCACAACAAACACGACGGCTGATGCGTCCTGGTGGAATTTGGTCCAGTGCTCGCGCATCTGTCGCTGCCCACCGACATCCCACACGGTTAGAGAGAGGTTTTTCCTGTTCTTTCTCGCCTCGAGCATTTCCACGTTGAAGCCGATGGTGGGAACTGTTGTGACGCACGTGTTGTGTTTCAGTTTGTAAAGAAGAGTCGATTTTCCAGCATTGTCCAGGCCCAGGAGGAGGACTTGGGCTTCCGGTTGTTTCGATCCTCGCAGTCCCATGGCGGTGTAAAATATAAAGCAAGTCAACTCAAGTGGGCACTTACAGTTCTCTTTTGACGTAATGTTAGCTTAGTGCGTTGCCCAGTTTTATAGATAAGCCATTAGCTCCATGCTGACAATAACTCACCCATAAGGTGCCACAGGGTGCAAAGTTTGTACCAACCAGAAGATAGGCCTATCCCTTGTTTATATACGCTGTATAAGAGATCTGCAATCTATGCAATGTAGAAGTGCTAATCTTATCATCATAAAACCTTTTATTTAAACAAAAAACATTTTTACTGCACACATTCTGCTACTTGAGTTTACACAGTCCAAAAGCACATTGAAATGATGATCAGATATATTCTTGTTTCAAAGTGTTTTTTTTATAGCTTGTTCTGAAAGAAAGTATACCTTACTGTTAATGATTTATAAGGCTCGTTCATGTAAAGGCCAAATAAGTCATTTGTTTTGTTTTTATAGGACCATGGTGTACAGCGCCTTGGATACATCATTGCACACACATGAATAGTTTGCCTATATTACATTCTGACACAGTTCAAGAATTGCACTCAATGAATTAACACAACAGTTGCTTTAGGGTTACGAACAAACAATGCGTAAACATAAGGCACAATGTACTTCACCTGGCAAATAAATAAATGCAGTTCCTCACTGAACTTGAAACAGTCTTCTCTAGTAAAATAATATGGAAGTTAAATTCATTACATCCTTCATATACATTTCAAACATCCACACAGTTTAATGGCATCCACCTGACTTAACAACCCTCCTGTTACATTCAGGGTAAAATTATCCGTTTGAAAGTTTGAAAATCTACGGAAAATACTTTCAAGTATTTTTTTTGTATGACACTTCTTCTACTTACCTTAATTAGTGCAATAAAGAAGTCAAATGAATGTATGCATGCATTTGGACGGTATGTGCATGGTATAAGCCCATTTCAATATATTTTTTATTCCAAAAGGAGGGCACAACCAAACAAAAAGGAAGAACAAATAAATGAAGGTTGGCCATCAGCAGGATGAACTTTTCACCTCTCGGCACAGTTGGCAAAAGTGCACTGTGTTTACAACCCATGTAGGTCATTAAAATAGGGGATGATCAATGTGTTAACCAAAGAAGCCAACTCTAAGTACATACACAACCAAAAACCCCTTTTCGCATTGTATTGCACAATGCATCCATTCTTTCTAACTAAAACAGCTCAAAGTAATGTTGGAAACAAAACAATGACTCTGTGTTTCAAAAGAAAATACGTTATCTCAGTGCGCATGGCACTCTTCGCCTCCTTTCATCATAATCTCCAGCAGTCTGACACTGAATACACGAATGTCTCTTATAGACTAAATCAATTAATGACAGTGATCAGTCCAGCCCACTTAAGACGATTTAAATCCACCGTCACTCCACACACTGCCCCTCAGCGCAGGAGCCAAAATCAGATGCATCCTGGCCCGAAGACGAAGGAGCTTGAGGCAGTGCATCCAAGCAAGGGGTGCTTCACTTTATTCCATTGAAGGAATTGTGTGCATTTCAAATGGATGTTTCATTTGTGTATCAGGTTCTGGTCCATTTCTCTCCCGGCTTCACCCACACACCCCCGGTTGGATTGTCCATTACGTACACCAGTCCCCTGGTGTCACCGCGGCTTTGGGACCAAGAATTAGTTGTTGACTTCTCCATTGGCCGGGGGGAAGAGTCTGGACTCGCCGACTGACTGGTTACCTTTTTCTGAATACGGACAATTGAGGGTGTAGAACAACATTCGCCGATTCTCTGATACATGTCCACCGCGCCACCGCGCTGAAAAATCACCCGCGCTTCAATGGAGGATTTGGATCCTTGTTGTCCCATAGTATAACTTAAATGCAAAACACTCCTTTAAAGATTAAAAGCAGAATTGTTTAAAATTCGCTCCTGTGTCTGAGTTGGCTCAATGATAAGCTTCAATTCCTCTGGGGCCTGCGCGCACTTGTCTCTCTTATACAATGCCAAATGTACACAAAACAAGGCAATATGTTCCCGTAAAGCTGTAGCGTGACGTACTTGACTCTGCGGTTATTAGACCCCTATAGTTGCAACACGGGTCTCAGCATTTGAATCAGTTCATGTCAGAGCTATTCTGAGCCGCTCCACCTGGTACAGCCCGTCACTAAACTTGGCAACATCGAATGATTCCGAGCAGCCCCTCCTGCAGCAGCAGGGTTGAGTTGAGCGCAGTTACGGATTATGCTATTTAGGTGCATCCCAGAAACACTGCGAATACGTTAGGTGTTTTCCCCTGACCGCCACTCTGACCTCACACCCTCATTCTTGTGAATGTTGAACGCGTAATGATTCAAATTTCCAGGAAGGCGATAGAGTTAAAATAATAAAAAGAGGGACTGCGAATAATTGTTTTTAAGGTCGGATATTTGACTGACACTTATGGCGCGTTTCCACTGCAGCGGGTAGCCCCGTTTAAGCGTCCTTAACCGTCCTCAAGCGGCCAGGCCGGTTTTTGGTGGCGTTTCCATATAGCCTAGTACCGGCCAGCGGGTACTTTTTCCCTCTTTTTCCGGCCTCATAAAATCGTGGTTCCCTCAGACCAGGGCCAGGGCTGAACTAGTGACGTCAACACTCTCGACTGCTGATTGGTCAGAGAGAATCGTCACAAGATCGCGCGCGAGTTCATCCCTAGCGTCGCATATATATTTAGAAGCAAGCTTGCAGCATTTTTAAACAGCATTTTGTAAACGGATGAGCTACAAAAATGGCTACGTCTAATAAGAAAAGCACACCGTGGTCGACCGAGGAGGTGACGACGTTCCTACATCTCATTGGGGATGATCAAATCCAGCGGGAGCTCGACGGAACAACTCGAAATGTGAACAAAAACAAAGCCGATCGCCCCGCCTACACTGCGTTGCTACCCCAGGTCCTAAACTGTAATGGAAATGCGCCACAGCCTGGGCCGGCCAGCGAGGCAGCCCGAGGCCAGAGCGAGGACGCTTAGGGACGCTTAAACGGGGCTACCCCGCTGCAGTGGAAACGCGCCATAATAGGCCCAATCCCAAACCACGCCCTACACCCTACCCCTACACACTACCCCTCCGTGACGGAGTGAACTCCGTGGAGAGAACAATCCTTCGGCGGCACTCGATGACGTAGTATTGAAATAGTGGCTCTGGAGCTGTTTTACTCGACATTGAGAAACACCCAATGTCGAGGACGCTTGCTTGGTAGCACATTTCTTCCGAGTGACTTGCTTGTGAAGCAAGTGACTCGGTGACTATTTCAAGCATACTACGTTCTTGTCACCTCGTAGCGAGAAATTTCGAGGCTGCACATGTGTAGACTCCGCGGTCTTAAAATCCCCACAATGCTTTGTGCACGGACCAATTTCTAAATCTTTGGCGGAAATAGCACTCCATTTAAGGCGGGGCCTCACATATGACGCACACCTGTTAGCCTGTTCCACAATTCTTTGTTTTCCGAGGCTAGGAAGGATTCTTGCCTCGCTTCTGAAGCAAGTGACTTGGAAGACATGTGCTACCAAGCAAGCATCCTCGACATTGAGAAACAACCCATGGATGTATAATAAGAACAGTTAGAGACCGGTCTCCAGTCAGCACCGATGAAGACTCACTGTTTTTTTAGGGCTTGATAACCCACTCCCCCTCCACATTCGTTGGTTTGGAACAGCACTTATGCTTATGGGTGCAGTGGCGGATTTAGGATTGTAGGAGATCCGGGGCTTAGCCCAGGAGTTGTTGGGGGGGAGGGGGTAAAGTACTATTTTTTACAAGTGGGGAGTGGACCGAACATCCTTTAGGGAGGTCATCACCTCCTCTAGGGGGGTCCGGGGGCATGCTCCCCCGGGAAGATTTGTTTTGCAAATATTGAAGTTGAAAGCATCAATCTGGTGCACTTTGAGAGCAACATTAACCCTACCTTAATAATACCTTAAAGCGGACAAAAGGCACTGGAGAACACTTATTCATTAACACCCTTTAATTAAGCAAACTAATGCCTTAACTCAAGGCTCAAATACAGTCATTTACTTATTTCCGTGAAACTAATGTGCGTAGAGTTTTAAAGGATGAGGATAGTCTCACCTTGATTCTGGCGCATTGCTTATCGTTTTATATATCTATTCTCATCCACCATCTTTGTTTGTGACGTAAAGAGTGTAAGAGTCACGTTTCTGAATCGGACACTCTGAATGGATGCAGTCACAGCCAATCGGAGTCTGATTCAGAGGGTTGCCTGTCAGTTCCGTTGTTATGTGTACTGAAATGAGAGCCAGTATAATTTCACGCGCGAAAACAAAATAAAAATTGGAATACATTATTTTAGTGTCTTAAAAGTAGACTGAGGTATGAAGGGTTCACGTTACATCTTAGGATCATTTTTAGTCATGTTCTGTATACATACCAACATATAAGGGTATACTTAGTGTGGTTACTCCATGTTTACTAGCTATAACATTAACGTTACATCACTCTTTTTCACTTCTTACTCAGTCAGCCAGAGTGCAGATATCACCATTAGATTCACAAACCTGAAACATCATCCATTTCTTCACTGCTGGTGATGACATTGTTATTTTTTTAAGTGAAACATCCGGGGCTTTTCAGAAAACATCCAGGGCTTGAGCCCAAGTAGCCACCCCCTAGCACCGCCACTGGTGGGGTGTAGGGCGTGGTTTGGGATTGGGCCTTAATCTGGTTTTCTTAGTTTCAGACTGTTGACATGGATATGCTTGATTTCTCCATCAGCTCCCATTGCATGACCCCATGACTCAAAATCAATGCAGAATTGTATTACTACACTGGACAAGTAGGACATACCTTTTTTTATTTCACTGCTTCTTCTATTTTTTAATAACCATAATATCATTTTACATAGGGAATTCAAATTGATTCAGGATTTATTAACCAAACTGGATAAGTAGTACGCCTACTTATTTTTATTAGATTTCACCCCACATCATTTTTTTTAATAAAAATGTT